CAGGCCGGGTTGAGACTGCCATGAGTGGGGGCTGCTCTGGTCTGTCCGGTCCCACTGCACTGCACCACAGGTTGGCGGGAGGGGAGGGGGAAGAGTTGCTTTGGCAGGGCAGGGCCCACCATGTTGCAGGTGGTGAACTGCTCCAGCCTCAGCAGCAGGCTGGATTTCCCCCAGCCTGCAGAGTGGTGCGGTCGGGCTGGAGCAGCCCCCTCCCCAACTCGGATAGTGGGGTGTTCCAGGTTAACTGGCTCCCAGTAGCATCAGCTAGTAAGAGTGATGATTAGTCTGTTAACCAGTTACTTCTCTACTCAGGATCAGCTTGTTTTGTGGTGTTTCATGGTCCAGACCAGTGTTTCTCAATGAGTGGTACGAGTACCCTTAGGGGTACTCAACAGAAGTCTGGGGCGCACATCAACCCAACTGAAATTTGGAGAAAACTGAATTTTTGTTTTAAGTTTTACAGGGCTTTATTGGTTTTGTACTTTTTACACCCAAAAACTTCATCGTCCGCCCAGCTACGATTAAGTTGTTTAAACAAATGTGGTGCAATGGTAGAAAAAATGTTGTGTCTGAAAACTGTAGATACTGGGGGAGCTTATAATTTTTTTTTTCATTTAAAAAAAAGGGTACTTTATAAAAAAAAAAGTTGAGAAACACTGGTCTCTACTACCTGTCTCCTGGCAAGCCCAGATAATTGGACCTCGCTCATCCAAACAACAGTTGTTCTTTGTGTTCAGGTTTAATTGCTGGAAGCAGACATGACCAAGACATCAATTTAATGGCTCTCAAGGACTAAAACCTAACCCTCTGTACCTGCAAGGGGGGATTTACCAACAGCTTGTGCGACCTGGTTGGGATCCTGACCCAAAATGGATTTGCCATCAGCTTGTGTGACCTGGTTGGGATCCTGACCCAAAATGAAAACAGATCGAATGACTCATCTCCTTAAGCCCTTATTGATGGAGCTTAGATGAAAGAAGCTGCTGGATCATTCCACTTGCTCTCAGGACCAGGTGGCAGGACAAATGCAGCAGCAAGAAATGAACACCATTGTCTTGCGCAAGATGGAAGTGGCCCTGACACGGGGCAGACTTACCACCACGGCGCCTCCTGCTGGTTGCTCTGGGAATTAGCTTGTTTGGGTGGCTGGATGCCTCCCTGTAGCTGGTGTCTCCCCTTGTATCTCTCCCACCTTGCCTCAGTGAGCCACTGCCAGTCTTCATCTCGCCCCTGCCTCAGGGGCAAACTGTAGTTGGGAACAGCCACTCATCACTGGCAAAGGGGGGTGGACCTACTGTCCCTGCTTACCATGGCTGCCCCTCTCAACCCCAATAGCTTCAGGCCCTGCAGCCTGGGGGCTTGCTTAGCCAGAGCTCTGCCTTCCTTCTCCAGCACTGAACCTCCAGCTTCCCATGCAGCCTGCTCCCAGTGCAAGGCAAACGCCCTGTCACAGACTCCAATAATAAAATAATGACAGCTGCTCGGTCACTGTGCAGCCAAAAGCAAGTAAGAACTCCATGGAACCGAACAAATACCTATGAGCAATTATGTCCTGCATAGCTATGTACTGTACAAGATGTGCCCCTCCCCCCCATCCTTCATTGCTTCCTATTGAAGGTTTATTTAGGAAGTTGAGTTTTTTTGTAAAAGGCAAGATCCATCCCTCGGTCCCAAGGAACAAACGGCATTAGAATTAAAGGTAGAAACATCTGAGCCCCTAGAACGGCTTCTCCAGTCTGGCACCATTATGTCCTGCATAGCTATGTACTGTACAAGATGTGCCCCTCCCCCCCATCCTTCATTGCTTCCTATTGAAGGTTTATTTAGGAAGTTGAGTTTTTTTGTAAAAGGCAAGATCCATCCCTCGGTCCCAAGGAACAAACGGCATTAGAATTAAAGGTAGAAACATCTGAGCCCCTAGAACGGCTTCTCCAGTCTGGCACCCGGCCGTGGCACATTGTGGGAGGTGGCCGTGGACAGCTGCTGCCCTTGGTGCTCTGGAGGGGAAGAGTGTGTCCCCAGGTTGTCTTCTGGGGCTTTTTAACCAGCGATACCTCTACGTGGGAGACACAAGGCCTGGGGGAGGGGAATCCTCTAGCCACAAGGTAAAATGCATCAGAGCATCGACCTGCAATCGTGCGCGTGGGGGCGATGGGCAGCGAGACAGGGCGTCGCCCCCCGGTTCAGGTTACACCGTGTATGGCACCGTGGGAATGACACAACAGCACGTGGTGACGTTACATATGAAAACTGTGGGGCTTGAGTCTGCTCCATGGGGGGGTGCTTGTCCGGAGGGGAGAAGGGCAGCTGCAGGGAGGCGGCTGGGAAAGGCAGATTCGGGGGTCAGCCGAGCTTACGTTGCTGGTGTCAGATCTGATCAGATGCACCAGCCTCTGCTCTGCCACACCCTTCCCCGGCTCAGTCCCCCGCTCAACACCCTGCCCTGACACCTCCAAGGAGCCCTGCCTCCCGTCCAGTGGAGAGTGGCTGGCCCAGAAAGGAGCAGAGCCATTTCCATGAGCTTTTCACCATGGGCGGTGGCTGACCTCGTGGGTTGGGGGAGGCAAAACCCCCACCCTTGCCTCTTCTGCATAAAGCCTTGCCCCTGCCCACTGTGGCCACTGCTGGCCTCTGCCCAGCCTCACAATGGGGCTGTTATGTCCTGCTCCCTGCCCTAGGGTCGTGCCCCCAGACTGGGATATCCTGGCCGCGGCCTGTCCTGGCCCTAGAGCTCCAGAGGGCCAGCGAGCGGTACTGATGCAGCCTCTGCTGGTCCCAGGACTCCGGAGAGACGATGGGCAGCATGGCTGCAGCCTTGCCCAGACCCAGCGCTCCAGCGCTCCAGCGGGCAGTGTAGCCCCAGCCTCCCCTGGCCCCAGAGTGCTGGAGATAAGAGCCAGGAGGGACAGTCCCAGCCACCTCGTGCCGTGTCTGCTGGACTCCCAAGCAGAAAGCCCCCCCCACACACACACGCTCTGGCACTGGGAGGAGGGGCGGTGTAGCCTGCCTGCCCCAGACTCAAGAGCAGGCTGGGTGAGGGAGTCTGGAGGACTCCGATGGAGCATAGGCAGGGCCAAGTGAGGCAGTTTGGGAAGACAACGCCTCCCTCTGCCTATGATACCCGCCGCCCATGCTTTTCACTACCAGAGGGCTCACGGGCACAGCGGGTGTTCTCCGCTGGCTCTCTCAAGAACTGTGCTGCCCAAAGTGGCCATCACAAGCCAGAGAACCCGTTCGGTGCCTAAATCCCAGTGACTTCTACGAATGGGAAACGAGGCCTGCGGAAGGGGAATCTCCCGGCTGCAACATAAAATGCATCCGAGTGTGATGATGGCGAGGGGAAAGGCATCCCGATGGTCGAGCAGACACTGGATATATAACTGGATTCTATTGAGAGGCGGGTTTGCTGCCCACTCATGGCAGATGTTTCTTTCCAAGCAATCTCACTTGTTTTCGCCTAGGCAGAACTAGGAAGTGGCTGAGCAGCTGGTATCCCTTTGGCCCGAGAGTTATTTCCATAAAATTCAGAGCCAGGACTTTGGATTCTTTCCCTGGGAGTTTCATTTGCATGGAACTGGGAGACCCGTGATGAATGCATACAGCCGGGGTGCAGCCTCAGGTTTTTGCTGCAGCGGAGTCAAATGGAATCAATGCTAAACTGCTGGCTGACTCAGCATATCCTTATTGTTCAGGTTTCTTTCAAGTGAGCACTGACAAGGCAGACAGCTTTTCAGGAGAGGCAGCAGGAGCCCTTGCAAGCTAGCGGAGAGCCAATCCTCACTTCTCTGCCACTTTTAGGTTGCTTTGTTATTTATAGTAAAACATCAGGGTGTAGACCGGGGTGGGCAGTCATTTTTGACAGGGGAACACTCCAAACATTTGGAAAGTGGTTGAGGGCTGCACTCCTCCAGGATATTAATGGAGGGGGTGTGGGGGTCTGGGATGGAGGTTGGGTGCAGAAGGGAGTTTGGGATAAGGGAGGGAGCTTGCGTGAAAGAGGCAGTTGTGACCTGGGGCACTGGACTGGGGTGCAGGGGGTTGGATTGTGAGCTAGGGCAGGAGGGGACTGTGATCTGGGTCAGGGGATTAGGGTGCTGGATCTGGGAGGCAGTATGGGTACAGGAAGGGGGCAGAGGATTTGGGTATGTGGAGTAGGGGGGCAGGAGTAGGGGGAAGGAGGTTGAGGAAAGAGGGTGCCAGAGGCAGGGGCTGGCCAGGAGACTTACCAACCAGCAGCCTGTTCCTGAATCAGCCTCCCTAGCTGCCCTGCCTGATCTGACCCTGCACAGATGGCAGCCATGTGCTCCGTGAATAACTACCAGCCCCTTGTGCTTCGTGGCTGCCTGTTATTGAAACAGGCAGCTCCCACTGGCCAGTTTCTGGCCAGAAGCCGGCCAATGGGATTGTGCTGGTGGGTGGGAGCACCTCCTAAAGCTTCCCCCCATTCCCTCCTGGCTCAGTTTTTAAAGTAAAACTGCCCCGCAGCTGCATTTCTGAGCAGCGTGCAGGTTGGGCGAGGCAAACGGAGTTTCCTTGGGGCTCCCCGCAGCAACTGCAGGCCGGCTTGGCAGGCCAGATCCAGCCCACAGGCTGTATTTTGCCCAGGGATTTGTCTTGCCTTCGGCAGGTGTATGGACTTGATAACCTCCTGAGATCTCTTCCAGCTCTATGATTCTATGATTCTAGACTCTGCTGTGGGAGAAAAAAACTGTAGGACAAAAAGACAGAAAAAACTGAGCATGACCCTAATACGGAGTGGGCAGGTAATATGGCCGTGGTTCACCAGGGTTAGCCCCGGGTGGGTTGCCACTATATTTACCTGCATGTCTATAGATACCAGTGATTGCAGCTTGTAGCTCCCATTGGCTGAAGATTGCTGTTCCTGGCCAATGAGAATGGCAGGAAGTGGCATGGACTGGAACACTGCTCCCTGCAGCTCCCATTGGCCAGGAATGGTGATCTATGGCCAATGGGAGCTGCACTTGCCAGTACCTGTGGCCATGCAGGTAAATATAATGGTGGGGCCTGCCAGGAGTTAACCCTGGTGGACTGGATCCAGCCCGTGGGCCGGTATTTATCCATCTTTGCCCTAATATTTATGAGCTTCCAGGGGATGATGACTCCTTAAAGAGTGACTTTTGTTTGCTTTGTTCTTGTCCTGGCTAACAGTGTCCCCACTAAGCCACGCAGAAGCCCAATGCTGCAGCTGGGATGCAGAGGTCTCGGTAGGGTCTGAGAGCTGGACGACACAACACCTGACACCAGTTGTTGGGCTTTGTACACTTTTCATCTCCACCCGGGGACTCCTGAGGAGAGTGTTACATCCCCAGACTTGTAATCTACCATATATTTGAGAGAGTTTGTCAGTTTGTTTGTCTGTTTGTTCAAGAACTCCTCCTCAACGGTGAGAGCTAGGATCACCAAACTCAGTATCATCACTTAAAGCAACATAAGGATTTGGATGTGCCAGGAAAATGGAACGTGCCTGGAATGGGATTGCTTCTCATAAAGCCATGCAGAAAAAAGACAGAATCACCAAGCAGGTGAAAGGGGTTGGCTGGGGGTGTTTCCCACCCCATCTGGACCACCTTAGCCCTGAGCTTCCCTCCCTAGGCACTCTTCTGGGAAGGCTGGGGGGGGACCCCTTCCATTGGTATGGGGACATTGCTGACGGTTCCCCTTTGTCAGGGAGTGAGAGGAAAGTGCACTGCTTCCTGCATTCTCCACTTGCTGCATTCCCCACTCTGGCTGGGGAGCGCAGGGGCCGGACAATCTGTGCACTTTGCTCTTGTTGGTGAGAGCTAGGATCACCAAACTCAGTATCATCACTTAAAGCAACGTAAGGATTTGGATGTGCCAGGAAAATGGAACGTGCCTGGAATGGGATTGCTTCTCATAAAGCCATGCAGAAAAAAGACAGAATCACCAAGCAGGTGAAAGGGGTTGGCTGGGGGTGTTTCCCACCCCATCTGGACCACCTTAGCCCTGAGCTTCCCTCCCTAGGCACTCTTCTGGGAAGGCTGGGGGGGGACCCCTTCCATTGGTATGGGGACATTGCTGACGGTTCCCCTTTGTCAGGGAGTGAGAGGAAAGTGCACTGCTTCCTGCATTCTCCACTTGCTGCATTCCCCACTCTGGCTGGGGAGCGCAGGGGCCGGACAATCTGTGCACTTTGCTCTTGTTCCCTGACAGGAAGGGGAAGAGCAAGCACCTACAGCCCTTTTCCCTGAGCCCCTCCTTAAGGACCCAAGCAACACCGGGTAAATGTGCTCTCCTATATAAGGACCAGTTATTGTTGTTATCACAAATCCTATTTCCCTCACATCTAAAACTCTGATATTATTAAAATAGTAAATAAAACAGTCATAAAAACTAGAGGGCCAGTTCTTCACATAGCACACAAGAAAATAAGAACATAAGAACAGTCAGACTGGGTCAGACCAAAGGTCCATCCAGCCCAGTATCCTGCCTGCCCACAGTGGCCAATGCCCCAGAGGGAGGGAACACAACAGGTAATCCTCATGTGATCCCTCCTCTGCCACCCATTTCCAGACAAATTAAGAACGGCTACGCTGTCACAACCAGAGCCGTCCTGTCCATGGGACAGCTGCTGCCCCAATGTTTTGGGGGACCCCATGGGGCCCAAAGAGGCTCCAAACATTAGTGGGGGGCCTGGTCTTGCAAGCAGGGGTTGGGCTGGTTCACAACCTCAGTGGTGGAAGGATTGAAGGAAAGGGCTGGAACTGCCCCCCGCATTTACCAGCAGCAGGAAGCAGAGAAGCTAGGGGCTGGCAGAGCAAAGCAGGTTGGGTCTGGGTCCTTCCACTTTTCCACTCCGCTACCGGTGGGGTGTTTGTGTGTGGACCCACCCCCTCACTGGTCCTCACTTGGAGGAAGAGGGCTTGGAGGAAACAGGAATGTGGTCAAGAGTGAAGATCTGAGTCAGCCAGCAGTTTAGCATTTGTTCCATTTGCATTTTCCCCCAAATGTCTTTGCAGGCTGCACAACCCACTCATGCAGGAATCAGTGAGGTGCAGTCATTTTCATGGCATAGATTGGGGACATAACAAAACCCCTGCATCCTGAATTAATGGATGTGCAGCCATTTTCATGGCATAGATTGGGGACTTAACAAAACCCCTGCATCCTGAATTAATTATTGTCATTGACATTGACTGTCCATTGCATGTGTTAGCTCTAGAGTTCACAGTCCTTAAGCTGGAGTGGAGTGACCACAATAATTTTCTCAGTGAAAAGTAAAATGTTGCAGGTACAGAGAGGCAAATGTAAAATATTTGCAGCTAGTATAAATTAGTGTAATTCTGTTGTTATCAAAGGAACGACACTGATTTACACCAGGTGAGCAGCATGTTTACCATGAAGGACCTAGTTATCAGGCTGTAGTTTCTGTATCATTAACATAGTTCAATAGTTATAATTGCATATTGCATATTGCATATAAATGCATATTGCATACAAAGGAACTGCAGTTGGTTCAATTGGCAGCATATTGCATACAAAGGAACTGCAGTTAAACACCTGTGGCTGTCCCGGTTCAGCTCTTGGGCATTTGAAGGGTGTGGACTGTGGGACTGTATAATTGCTGTGTAGACTTTGTAATATTTTAAATGTAAACACAGCCTCTGCGAACCAGTCCCCCCCAAGGTAATGGGAAAGCAATCCTGATCCATCTTTTCTAGAAGATAAAGGCATTCAGAAAACAGTATTTGCCTGTCTTCTGTGTACCTAGGTGCCAGTACAACTGGTTGAGATATTTCACAACTGTTATACCCATTATTTCTCTTCCTTTGTAAAGCAATTAAACAGTTTCAGTGTCTACTGCTAATAAATGCAGACCAAATCCTGCAGTTTTATTTGGTTTTTACTCAGACAAAGCTTTTATTGAATAGCTAATTTTTTGTCATTTTGATCCAGACACTATGATTGTGTTCAAGCAATTTGTGAAACTTGGACTGTTTGCTGCTTTTATTCTTTCCATCTCTTCATGTCTTACCCTTCCTGCAAAGTGATCAGGGCATAAAGGTGATTTTGTTTTCACTAACCAACAGTAAGTCCTTCAGAACAGCCTGGGGAAAAATTTGAAATCCAAAGCAGCTGTCCAGTGGCTTTAATAGCCCTATGACATTCCTTTCAATCTGGTGCTACAAGTTGCCAGATTCATTTACCTATCTATGGCTCAAACAGGCTCACTCCATGCAAACTTTATGGGTCAAAAGCAGAAATATTCAGATAGATGGATAGCTTTACAGATATGTGTGTGTTGGTGTATTACATGGTGATAGGCAACAAGCTAACCCACTTTTTCCCCCCCTGAATTCATATCACTGGTTGTTGTAAAAAAGGATGTAACAAATATTACAGAAGAGAAATGCTGGAAAGGAAAAGAAAGCTAGAGTTCAACAGCATGTCTGTTAGATGGATTATGATAAAACGCAAATTAAATTACAGAATACTGAATCAGATTCATATGCCAGGATTGTCAAAGGCTAATAAAAGAGTTAGGTACCTAATTCTCATTGTACTCCAAATGGGGTCGGGCAGGAGACTAATGGAGTCAGATGCCCAATCCATACTCAGGGTGTGTGTTTGTGTATAGACACGTTGTGCTAGCTGTATTCTCATTATATTACAGGGTGCCCTTGTGTTACTGCAGTGTCATAGGAGACTGACTACCTGGGAGGGAGGGGATATGCAAAGTGCTCTGATGGACTGGGAGGAAAGCAAAGGGCTGGGGGGAGGGGTACTGATGAGTGGTAAAGGGAAATGAGGGGGTGACATGGAAGTAGGTACTGGGGAGATTCAAGGAGCTGATGGGACGGATTGGGGTGAAAGGCCTTGGTGTAGCAGGAGCTGATGGGATGGTGGGTGACACAGGTAAACTGGGGGAGCGGGTCAGGGTGGAATGAGATTGGGTGGAAGAACTGAAGGGATGAGAGGAGGGTGGGGACGAGCTGTCGGGATGGGGGAGAAGGGAGTTGACTGAGTGGGGGTAGAGATGGGGTCAAGGGGTAGTTGGGGCCAGGCTTGGGAGGGGGTGTGACAAGCTGTGGGCTGGTAGGAGACACAGGAGCTGCTGTAGGGGGATGGGCTTGAAAGAGGTGATGGGGGCTGCTATGGGG